AACAGATTAATGAAATGTTCGCAATGTTACAAGACGTGAATTCGCGCACAGCAGATGGAACAGGATCAGTCAAATTTAATAAGTGCAGTAAATGATATAAAAAAAGCCAGGCATCGATTGAAAAAAAAAATCACAGACAGGAATAGAAGGCTGATTGCGGTAGAATCTAAACTTCGTCCAGTGACGTCATTCAGCAAGACTTGTATGATTTGCGGCGGTTCACCGATAGTCTCAAAGATGAAAATTCGCGATTGCGGGTTAGTCATGCTGAGCTGGAGGACCGCTCACGGCGAGATAATCTTTTGTTTTACGGTTTGACAGATTCTCTTTCTGAAAAATGGAATGAAACGGAGGAAAAACTAAAGACTGTTTTCTCAGCCAACCTGAATTTGCCCATTCCTACGGATTCAACTGAACGCGCACATAGGCTTGGCGCCTTCGCAGACAAATGCAGGCGAGTTATCGTAAAAATCCTTTATTTTAAAAGGTAGCAGCAAATTTTGATTTCAAGCGTCAAGCTGAAAAGCAACCGCCTCACTGGCAGCGACGATTACTCTATCTCTACGCGTCAAGCTCGAAGAAAACTAGAAAGAATTGCCAAAACGCAAAATTCTATTTTCAATCTGAGATACAACAAACTCTACATTAACAGCAAGTGTTGTGGTTACAACTATGTAAATGACAGCCTGTTTGAACTTGCCACGCACTCTGGACAACAACCCCAGAGTCAACGACCGAACAATGAAGACGAATCAATACAGGCAAGCGCTTCGCGATAACGTAACGTGAGGGGCAGTGGACAGGCTTCCGATAGCATAAGTAAACACTTTTTTTCTATTCACTAATATTAGGAGTGTTTCATCTAAACGTGACGAATTGAACTTTGTCGGTGACTCGTGCTATGCTGACGTGGTAGTACCAACTGAAACATGGCTTTCCGCGATGACTGGAAACAATGGACTTGTTGAATGCGGCAAGCGTTTCAATGTTTATCGAAATGATAGAGGGCTAAGGTGCGGTGGTGGTGCTTTGATTTTCGTGTCCGATAACCTTTGTTCGTCTTCTGTAGAAATTCTAAGTAATTTAGAACTTCTATGGGTGGAGCGCGTGTGTCACAAAAGATTTAGCTTAGGTGTTTCTTATCGACCACTGTCGTTAAGTGCTACTTTTGTTGAAGATTTGCATGATGCAATTAACAATATTATTGTACAATTTCCAAATATGCCAATCATATTGCTAGGTGACTTTAACTACTTAAATATTATATGGTCGAATGCATCTTCTTATCCTAGTTTATATTTTAGTGAATGTATTAATTTCTTGCAAATCTGTGCCGATTTTAATCTCTCGCAAGTTGTAACTCAACCATCCCGAATTACACCAACATCATTGAGTGTTTTAGACCTTGTGTTGACCACCTCACCTGAACTTGTCGCTCCCATATTTCACTTGCCTGGTTTAAGTGATCAGGCTTTGCTTCAATTCACATTAAATATCTCCGTTCATGGCAATGACAGCCACAATAAATACATAGGAGATTTTAAGAAGGCTAACTTTGGCGCAATTAACCTTGCGTTATGTTTTTTTCTGGACGAGTATCTACAAGAATTCAACGGCAGGTCTTTGAATATTAACTGGAATTTATTTAAAGATAAAGCAACTTTTTTCACAGATACCTAATCATACCGCTGAGGATGGTCCCATCAAACCGAAATTCACCTTGGTTTAACCAGTCATTGAAAAGGCTGTCGAATAAGAAAAAACACATGTTTCGTTCTGCTAAGTCATCCAATTCCCAGTCCCGTTGGGATATCAACTTCCCTGCAGCAAATGATTACAAAATTGCACTTAAAAAAGTCAAAGATTCATTCTTTAATCAAACATAAACTTACGTGCTTATAAATCACCCGAAACAATTTTGGAATGTTGTTGACAAAGTTGATGATTACGTTATAACACTCCGAGATTCTGACGACACAGCAATTCCCAGCAATGAATGTGCTAGTATACTTAGCACTTTGTTTGCTTTAGCGTTTTCTGCCAATACAAGCTATCCTTATTTTCATCATTCAAGTTTTCAGGGATGGACCCAATTTTTACAGACACTGTCGGTATTGCAAGTATAATCGAAAATCTTAAGATATCGTCATGCTCTGGTACTGATAACATAAATTCTAAATTTTTAATTAACACTAAGATGTATAGCTTGATAATCCTGACTAAACTGTTTGAGCAATCTCTTGATACAGGTTGTGTACCTGAGGATTGGAGGGTCGTGAAGGTGAAATCAGGCGACAAGCATTGTTCAAACAACTTCCGACCGATATCACTCACCAGCATTGCATGTAAAATCATTGAACATATCATTTCTTGCAAACTTTTCACAGTCCAATTTTTTCTTTAAACAGCACAGCACGGATTTCGCAAAACATTTTCAGACTTAGCTTTTATGTTTCACACATGATATTCATTCCATCCTTGATCGTGGATCTTTAACAGGCTGCATATTCCTCGATTTTTGCAAAATCATTCGATAAAGAAACTCACAAACTATTTTTCCTCAAGCTGAGTCAACTTAACTTAGACCCCAATGTACTTGCATAGTTGCATTGTGGGCGACCGACCCGAAGGCGTTAGCATAGTCAAGGAAGGCCACACAAAGGTCTCCACCGCCCGTCCGGGCCACATCCAAGCGCTCCTGCATCGCGAAGTTGTGTTCAAACACTCCGTCGTGTGGCATGAATCCTTTCTGGCACTGTGACAGGACGCGGTGGTCAGACAGCCACTGCTGCAGACGAGCCGCAAAGCATCCGGCGTGGAGATTCGCGACTGTGCAACCGAGGAAGATTGGGCGCCAGTTGGCGGGGTCTTGCCGATCTCCCTTCTTGTAGATGAGGATCGTCCTCGACTCCCTCCAGGTGTCTGGCACTCCGCGATGACGTAGGCAGATGTTGAATGCCGCCGCAAGGAAGGAGGCCTCGGGATCGACAGTTCGCCAGTGTTGGTAAGTCAAGTGGTCGCCGCCGGGCGCCGTACTCTCGCAGCGTCGCAGGCGGGTCGCCACCTCATCGTCAGTGAAGGCAGCCATAGATATCTCGCCTGCCGCTGGCACTCGGGTCATGAGGAGGTCCGTGTCGACCTCCCTAGGGGCCCATGTGGAGGTAAAATGGGCCTGGAGCTCGTCCAGTGGGACTGGAAACTGCGTGGAGGGACCCTCGACGATGAGTCTCACTGCCCGGCGGCGGTTGCGGCGATACAGGGACTGGATCTGCTGCGGGCAGTTGGGATTGACTTCACGGCGAGGCTTCCCTCCAGATGTTGCGGAGGGGAGCTTCACGGCTGTCGTCACTGCCTCAATTGCGGCGTCAAGAGTGGCGGTGAAGCTGCTCAAAACCGCAGCAGACACCGGTTCTCTGAGTAGCCTCCTCAATCGCTTTGTGTGTTCAGAGAGCACGCAGGACTCGTCGGTCGGTTCCCATGGCACTGGGGTGCCGGCAGGATCCTCACAGTGGCCGACGTCACCGGTCTCGGTCACGTTGCCGGCGTCAGTTTTGTCGTTGGGGGTTGAGCTTCTTGGTGTGCTCGCGACGTCTCGGTCCCCGGTGTTGGGGGGTCTTCTTAATACTAGTTCTCAGCCTTCTCCAGTTGGCTCAGGTGTTCCCCAAGGTTTCGTCCTGAGCCCTATCCTGTTTCTTATGTATAATAATGCCCTGCCAACAAATATATGTTCATCTGTGAGTCTTTGTGCCGGGCGCTGTGTGATTTATTGTGAAATTAACAGTGATTCTGACGTCCATCTTCTCCAGTTTGATATTAACCGCGTTTCTGAGTGGTGTGATTTGTGAAACATGAAACTTAATTACTAACCAATGCAAATATATGCGTGTTTCTCGTCGTGATATAGAATGGCCCTTTTATCATCTAAATAAGCACTCCTTTGAAGCCGTAGTATCGTATAAATATCTGGGCGCGCATGTGTCTTTTAACCTATCCTGGAAACTCCGCGTCGACCAGGTTGTAAACAACGCGAATCGCATGCTAGCCTACCTCCGCATAAACTTTTATCTTGCGCCCATTTCATTAAAATTACTACTTTGTAAAAGAGTAGTTCGCACTAAATTGGAATATGCTGCCTCCGTTTGGGGATCCAGGTCAGGAATCTCTTCAATCAACTGCTATCGTACATATTGTGTGACTGCATTAAAATCATGCTTATCGCTACCTCTACTTTCTGAGCGTATAAATTGTTTTCGTCTATGTCAGTTTCATACGATTTATCGTAACAACCCGCTTCTGAAAGAAAGGCTACTAACAGCACCTCATTATGTTTCAGCGTGCATCGATCACCATCACAAAGTTTGTATTCCACCTAGTCGCACGAAACATTTTCATAGTTGAACATGATTGTAAACCTGAGACTGGGGCAGGAAGAGAACACAACAGAAGGTAGTAAAAGAGGAGGCAACCTCAAACTCCAAGGAGTTTGAGACGTTGCCGCCTTTTTTACTACCTTCTGTTGTGTTCTCTTCCTGCCCCAGTCTCAGGTTTACAATCATGTTCAACTTACACCAGCTCGCCTGCACTCTGACTATTTCTTCATTTTCATAGACTCTTTTGAAGTTAGCCTGGTGATGAAAGAAGACGACAGCGATCAGAACTGGTGGGGAGAAGAAAGAAGAAGTAAGATAGAATAAACAGGTCTGATAAGCTTCCCCAGTGTGGCAATAGTTTGTAGACCACTACAAATTTGGCGCAGCCAACAGGATCAGCAAACTCTGGGTAACCTTTAACATAGATCCAAGTTCTATTCAAGAAATTGTATTTTCGAGTCACAATGTTCAAGATGATGCCACGACAGATCTTCCTCGACATATCAGTACACCAGAGTTTATTGAGCTGGTCACACAGAGGGCAAATAAGTCAACGACGGAACTTCTCAGCTCCAGATCCGTCAATGTAAACCTGCAACTGTCAGTTTTAGAAGAAATGGTACTACAACCATGTCAGAGATTATCGGAAGAGACTTCGGTATCTACCTCGAGCACGGCAATGATGCTAAAGCCATGCACCTACAGCAACAGCAGATAATCCAGCAAAATGAGTTGATGCAGGCCATCGTATATCCTTCATGAAATAAAAGGAGAAACCTAGATCTGAAACAGTGAAGCCAGGCATGTTGAACGGATATTTATTGAGTCCGGAAAGATGGACTGACTTTTATGAGTATGCTTTAATGAAGCACTTCTTGCACTAAGAGCAGGACCGCATCAATAACATGCGCCTTTTTCTGACGGGCGTCGCAAAGAAGTGGTTTGAACTTCGTCTAGTGGACCACCCGGAAGCAAGCTGGAGTGATTGGAAGGCAAGTTTTCTCGACAGTTTCAAGAGGAATCCCGTAGATAGATGGGATCAAACTCTATTCCATAAGTACAAGACAGGTCTGATCCTCGAATGTTTTTTTGAGAAGAGAAAGCTCATTCAGCTTGCCGAACCCCACCTGCCAGAGTCGGCAATAATCTCATTGATGCTTCATGGAATTCCACGTGAAATCCCAAAATAAGTACAAGCTCGAAATCTCAAATCCGTCGAAGACCTGCTTCAGAGCTTGCAAGACATCAACATCCCCAGAAACCCCATCGACAGAAGTTTTCCACCTCGAGCTGTCGCGCCCATGACACCAAACTCCAGCCATGCCATAGATAGAAATCTTCAACATAACGCTGTAACGCAGCGTACAACACCAAATGATGTGCGTCAGCAAAGGCGTCCGTGGGAACAGTCAAGTTACAACTCTAACCAGAACCAGGCGGTCCGCTTCACGGATGCCGAGGAGCAGTCGGGAGGTTCAGGACAAGAAACAAAAACAAAAAAAAAAAAAACGAATAAAGGAGGGTGGTCAGTCTCACCCGAAGATGCCAAATGAGACAGTACTTATCTTTGAGACCCTTACATATCACCGCTGATATAGATGGTCGTAAGACGATCATCTATGTAGATCATCAACAAGACAAAAACAGACGTACTGAAGACCTACTTAGGAAAAACAATTCAAGTTCAAAGTTCTGATGCGGAAAAAATCTTTATGAGGAATGGACAACGGTCACCGTTAACTTCGAGGGTCAAAGTATTGAAGTTGTTGCTCTGGTAATTGGTGGTGTGGATTATAACTTCCTAATCTCACGGCCAGACATGAAACGGCTAAAAGTGAACATCTACTGGGATGATATAGTCACACTGGAAAAGACGGCTGACCGCATATGTTTGGCCTGCAATCCTCTAGGTACTCCGCCGCCAAAGCTTATTACTGCAGCTGAAGACATTCCTAAGTTATACCCTGAATTGCTCAGCATTGGCAGCTACCCTCCAGCTACCCCCGAATTCACGGTGCCCTTCAACATCAGTGACAAGACAGTGGTGCGTAAAAACCCCTATAACACGAACAGAAAGAAGAAGGTGTGGCTCGAGCAGGAGTTGCAAAATATGCTATATGCAGACATCATCAGGCCTTCGGTGTCTCCGTTTGCCTCACCTATCACCATCGCACCCAAAGAGGACGGGACCTTCAGGCTCTGCACGAACTGCCGTGCTTTGAACAAAAAGACTGATCTAACTCCTTTCCCAAAGCCATGAATTGAAGCCATCATAGATGAAACAGCAGTTTGCCGATGCTTTTCGCGGATTGACTTGTGCAAAGGATTTTGTTAGGTGCCCTTACCAAGATGTATACAGCGTTCACGACACCCTTTGACCTGTACGAATATAACCGCCTCCCATTTGGCTGGAAGAATTCCCCTGCGTGGGTTCAGAAGATGATGAACCAGGTCCTGAATTCGTATCTAGGGAATTTTTTGCAACGTGTACATCGACGACATCATTGTCTACTCTAAAACAGAGGAGGAACACCGGCACCACTTATCAGAAGTGTTCTCAGCACTTAGCTCTGCAAAACTGAAGGTTAATTTCAAGAAGAGCGAGTTCTTCCAGACCCAAATACAGGGTGTCACAAAAGAAAATTTACACGGTCTTTTTTACCGCAAAAATAAACTAGGCATCGCCGAACGCTCATTCTCCGCCCTAAGGTAGCGCTAGAGGTCACAACCAGATGCCAAAGTTTCAGCCCGATCCGATAACTTAATCCAAAGTTATAAAAGATTTTCTAAAAATGTCAATGGGAAAATGGCGGCCGACGGAGTTTTCAAACACATGGGGCTCTATGGCACCAGAAACCGAAAACGGGCCAAAATGGGCTCCATTTTTCCATTGGCATTATCAGAAAATCACTTATAACTTTTGATTAAGTTATCGGATCGGGCTGAAACTTTGGCATCTGGTTGTGACCTCTAGCTCTACCTTTGGGCGGAGAATGAGCGTTCGGCGATGCCTAGTTTATTTTTGCCGTAAAAAAGACCGTGTAAATTTTCTTTTGTGACACCCTGTAGTTTTCCTCGGCAGAGTGTTTAACGGCTCTACAAAAAGCACAAAAAGAAGAGTCTGTGGCAAGGGTTTCCCAACTGGTTAAGCCGTATGACGTACACTCTCTCCGAGTGTTCCTCGGTCTGGCAGGTCACTTCAGAGCATTTATTAAAGACTACGCTCTGAAAACAAAATGCCTCACTAGGCTCACACAGAAGGATGTGATATTTGATTGGACGGGAGAGTGTGAGAGAGCGCACCGATATATGGTTCAAGCTATGTCCTCGGACACTATCCTATCTTTACCAGATTTCACACCCCAATTCGAACTAAACACGGACGCCTCTCATTATGGGACAAGAGCCGTGCTTTACCAACGAGACGCAAAGCAGCCCGCTCACAAGCAGCTTCGGGTTGTGGGCTACCACAGCTTTATGTTCAACAAATCAAAGTTCAATTACACGACCACAGAAAAAGAGGCAACGGCAGTTCTGAAGGCTGTCCATTATTTTCGGTCGTACCTGGAAGGGTACGACCGAAAATTTTCACAGACCACCAAGCCTTGACTCACCTTCTTAAAATGACACAGCCAAAAGGTAGACTTGCGAGGTGGGTCAATGAGCTCCAGCAGTCCCAGTTTGACATTATACACCGCCCTGGTTTACTGCTGACGGACGCCGATGCTCTTTCACGCCTTCTTATTCCTCTATGTGACGGAAGTCAGGAAACTGTAAACCGAGCAAAGCTGTGGGAGGGAACTGAACATCTATTCTTTGAAGAGGGCAAGTTCCAAGCACCTCCTTCAATGACTCCTAGTTTTACAAGAGTATCATGAGCCCAGAATCCGGTGGACACGATGGCTTTTGGCGAACCTACAAAAAGCTCACCAAGAGGTTCATCTGGCCAAACATGAAGCAGGACACAAGAAAATACATTCAGTCTTGTCACGAATGTCAACTTCACAAGGCAAAGTTCAAGCAAGCTACAGACGTAATTACAACTTCGGAGTACTCAAAGGAACCATTTGGGGTTGTCCACTTGGACTTCGCAGAGTTGAAAAAGAAGAGAGGAGCAAAACAGACGCAAGCGTTTCTCATTTGTATTGAGGAATGCGCAAGAATGGTAGCCACTCGAGAAGATGTGAACAGCGTCATAGCTTTGCTCAACTGAGAAATGTTCAATAACGTCAAGGTAATAAAATCCGACAATGGACCAGCCTTCAGAAGCAAGAAGTTAGAACAACGGGCAGGACAGCGGAGTACTTCACTGAAGTTTTCCGGGCCGTACCATCCTGCAGCCAACGGCCTGCTGAACGAGCAGTTCGGGACATGAAGCAATACATGAAAGTGTACCCAGATTTTCCAGGAGGCTGGAAGTGCTGTCTCGAAGCAGCTGTGTCTCAGCACAACAGATGGTACACGAAGTGCCTAGGATGTAGACCGATCTTTGCGGCCACTGGGAAAGTTCCCTTTCTATCGGCCGATCATAAGCTGGGGTTAAGAAAGAAATTGCGACTCAGAGAAATACCCAAAACAGACGCCGCAAAACAAAAGTACAGGGGCAACATGAAACAAAACTGACAAAAGACACAACGCCGCAATACCAAACCTAAAGGTTGATGATCTCGTTCTCATCAGAAAAGGAATCCCGGGGTCAAGCGCCAGTTTTTCTGGGCCTTACCGCGTTGTGAAAACGGCTGCCCAGCAGGGCATATTGAAGACGATTTGGTACTTGGGCCCTAACGAGACTACGGAGACTGCCTGAATTGGAAATTTTTTTCAGTATCGTCCCAGGAGGGATGACTTCTGAAGCCCGGGAAAGTGAAGTGAGCCTGGTGATGAAAGAAGACGACAACGATCAGAACTTAGACCACTACAAATACAGTGTGACTGCATTGAAATCATGCTTATCGTTACCTCTCCTTTCGCAGCGTGTAAAATCGTTTGGTCTATGTCAGTTTCATACGATTTATCATAATAACCCGATTCTGAAAGAAAGGCTACTAGCAGCACCTCATTATGTTTCAGCACGCATCGATCACCATCACACAGTTTGGGCTCCACCTAGTCGCTAGAAACATTTTCAGATACTCTTTTATTCCCAGCACCTCAACAATCTGGAATCACCTTCGCGGAGCCATCGCCGAAATTACTGATTGCACGCGTTTTAGAACTGCCATAGCTAGTTATTTCTTATGAAGAGCCATAACAAGTGTATAATACTTTTTCTTCTATGCTGTTTTGTTTTATTGACCTTTGTACCCTACTCCCTTCTGTAACGCCTCTGACTCTGACGGTAAATAAACACATAAATAAAAATAAACTACTCTGCGCGAGTTTCACGAATTGAAAGATCATCTTAGTAATCCTGTCAATGAATTTTCACAGCTTTGCAAAGATGATTGTTAAGGCAGCTCGCAATTTTGGCAACATTCGTAACCGACCTGTCGAGACACTGACCTCCAGTGGCCATAAAGCTTGCCCGAAAGGCTTAGAGGACTGCCTTTTTAACTGTCCGGCGAAGTCTCCATTCCAGCTTGTCTGTGTGCTTACAGGAATATCTCTTGCAATCAGTTTAAAATTTGGGTGAGAGATATGTGTTGAGATGAGGAACCTTATAGACGAACATGAGCGCGTTGGTTTTGATAACTTGTTACAGAGAGAAAAAACAAAAAGGACGGGCAAGGACGGACATCTCAACCATT